GAAGGATAACATGATTAACTCGAAGGCACGTAGAGCGTAGAAAGAGAACTTGGGAGCTGTCTATAAGGCGGTTTGACCCTGTATTATATAATGTCTGTACGGTAGAAGGAGGCGGCGAATAGACTTGAGACAAATAAAGATAATAAACCCCGGCGAGATACTATATTATATTACCTGGTTTAATTACTTGTGCAGAGCTAAAACTGAACCAAATAGTGGGTTCATATAAATGATATTTGATCGGTATGATGGAGAATTGGTTGGAGCTGGAAGTGTATTTGGGATATATAAATGATACAAAGGTATGATCTACCGGCGGTCCGACTCTATCGAAACAGCCATAATGCATACCGGGACGATGTCGGCCACCTTTCGTGAACAGTTTCTAGATTAGCACAGCGCTTGATTAGATGGAATCTTGTGAGTGTATAGTTCAAGCCTACCGCAGGGCTATGTTCGTCAGCTATTAAAAGTGAGCCGACTTTCATGCCGTGGCTGGGTATTGTTGCAAGTACTTGGCAATCATAGGGTTTACCCTCTCTGCCTCTGGCCATGTGAACAAATGTGCCGCATTGTCGAGAATAATGATCTCCTTGTTAGAAGCTTCCGAAAGTAAGTCATAATTCTCTCGAGCGACCGAAGATGGGTAAATTATATCGCCACCTAGAACTGACTCAGAACAAGCAGGAAAAGTACCACGAGGTTCTTACCTGCATGGACTAGGAGGACCGGCATCTTGATCTTCTTCCATTCAGATGCGGGTGGTGGCTGCCGGTCTAGTATGGCCGAGTACACCTTTTTGAACAATTTTCGATTAGAAGGTACGAATTTGCTCGTCGCTACCCATTTCATATGATCTTCATCTAAATAGACTTTGGTCAGCGGTCACAAAGAAGTTTAAGGGGCTATGGAATGCACCTGTCCGGCCTTTCTTCCCAAACAGTAAAGCTCGTCCTGCGGCTATAATGTTGGAAGGTAGCTCATCTGTGCCATCTTCACCCGCCAGAATCGCCTCCAAGACTGCTCGATGCTGTATGATGTTTTCTGGCGACTGCAAAATTGAATTTGTAAAAGCTCCAGTCGAAAAGAAGGCATAAAACGGAACATACCTCTACAGGTGGTGGCATAGAACATAACAGCAGACTGCGGATCCTCTCCGGATGTAGGATGGCCATCCGGACCGCCAGGAGCGCACCCAACGAGACGCCCAATATGTGACAGGTTTCGATGTTTAGGGCATCCAAGAATCGAAAAAGATCGTTGACAACCTATTTGGCATTCTAGGTTAGATAATCTTGTACATCAAGCAAGGGTTGGCTCCGAGGAAGGGTCGAAAGTGGCGTCCCTGGTGCGGTGCCTATCTTTGCATGATCGTACGGTCCCTCGTCTAGCTCAACCTCTGTTAATCCATGATAATGATGATCCACAACGACCTGGTTTAGCCCTCAGTCGTATACTAGAAAGTCGACTTGAGACTCACCAGATTGAATTGGTCAGTCAATAGCTCGTCTGTGTACTGGGGAGAGAAGAATTCATGGTCATAGAACCTTGGGTGCAGCATCAGGACGGTAGGCCTCGACTTGTCAATGGTGCTACTTGTTGACGAATAGATATTATAGAACAAACGCAAGTCAGAATCGATAGTGACCAGCGGCATTGTTTTCGGCAGAGCAAGACCAAAGTAGGGGGGAGGAACTTTGCAGCAGGGTGGCAGGGGAAGACAGGCAAGATAGTGATGCGCCAAACATGTCTTCATGCCATTGTCTATATACTCATTGTACTATTATCAGATCAAAGTGCAGAAGATGGTTTCGGGTCGTGTGAATAACACACGCCTTACTGTAACTATCTAATTCCCGTCCAAACCGCTCAGGGTCCAGGCAACCAAAAGTCAGATTTATCGAGGTATGTAAAAAGACCCCACAAAAATTTAATTCGAATGTCCTAAATGAAATACACTGCCGTAGGACGGTGCCCGATCTGGGATAGTCTCTCGCATTCAAACTATGGTGCAACTTCTATACAAACAAAAATGTATATATTCTTGACAGAGGATGGTAATAACGTGATCTGGATAATATGTTCCTCCACGTTTAGGGTGCGCGCGGGTATGGAGTGGGTTCCGAGCCATCGGTACCATTTTAAAGTTTCTCCCATGATATACCGACGAAACCATCAAGCCACAACTTTGGTTTGGAAAGTGACAGTGGTGGCCGAGAAGCCAAAAGCCATCGACTTGGAAGCCTCGTTAAGCTCGGGATGCGTTTTGAATGAATTTCACGAGGATGGGATTGAAAGTGGATGCATTCGTAGAAGTAAAGAAGTGTGGCCCATTACGGATGATTTGGACTTCTCGAGTCGTTGCCTCCGAGAACAGCTCCCAGTTTGCTTTAGCGATAGACGGAGGATACGGTATATCTGCCTCTAATGTCCGCAAAAAGGGGCCAGTCAGAAAATCAAGCCTCGTGCCCTTCACCTCGTGTAGGCTATATACGATCACTCACCTCCGTGGGCTATGAGCACCGGTATTTTGATTCGCTGCCAGGCGTCTGAAGGCGGAGCCGTTCGGTCGAAGATGGAAGAATAGACCTTTCGTAGAAGCTGCTTGTTCATAGGGGTGATTTGATTGGTGGCCATCCATCTTTGCTGCTCCTCTTCTACTTACCAGCAGGTGTCATTCGTCAATCGTTGATCCGAGAACTTGTCTAGTGATGACAGGGAGGAGGGCTCACCTGGTTGACCTTTCCGGCCGAATAGCGTCTTCATTCCAGCAGAAACCATGTCTGGTAAGGCATCGGCGTAGTCATCTTCAGCCTCCAATGTCAATTCCAGCAGAGCTCTGTGTTTAGCGATATCATCGGGATTCTAATTGAACAAACCAAAATGAAATGTCAGTCGAGTATAACCTTGCTATAGCATCCTTTCCTTGAATGCGAGGAAAAAAATTCTGACCGGTGCTGGTGGTCCCATTGAGCACAACGTGAGGCTCAGAATCCGTTCAATGTGCAGTATGGCCATTCGAGCAGCAATGGCTGCACCTAGAGCTACCCCAAGTAAGTGGAACTTGTCGATGTTTAACGCATCCAGGAACCGAAAGATGTCTCGCGTAACCTGTCCCGTCAAGTCGGTCAGTCAGTTAGGTCACGATCGGTGCCACCACACACAAGTGGGCATAATGAAACGGTGCCATCTATTGGCTGGGAATCACTGTTTCATTCACCTTGTCAAAGTCGTATTTTCCATCATCTAGGGTAACTTGAGTGCCTCCATGGTAATGGTGATCCAGCACAATCTACACGACGTAGAAGCGATGAGAACGATGCAACCGTAGTGCGACCAAGTTTCAGTTCAGGAACGCAGAGGGTCCGACTCACGAGGTTATACTTTTCTGCTAGTTCCTCGTCTGTATACTGGGGGGCAAAGAAAGTTTGGTCGAAGAACGTCGGGTGCAAGAGGAGAATGACCGGTTTAGACGTATCAAGAATGCTCCCCTTGGGCGAGAAGACATTGTAGAAAAAACGAAGGTCCTGGTCAACAGTCACAAGAGGCATGCTGGTTAGGTTTTAGACAACTCGTCATAGGACTTTTGACCACATCGAGGGTACTTATAGACAGAGGGGAGCGGCCACTGTATTAGATAGGCTACAGGCCGTCAAACTCGGCTCCCTCGTCCCCAAAAGTAGCATCCAAATGCCGGTAGCGGGTAAATTATCGGACGATAAGAGTTAAATTCTTTCTACAGGGGTACTAGAATAGAACACAGGGGATCAAAACGCGTTGGAGAACGGACAGAACAGCCGAAAAGTTTTGCATCATGGGAAGGAAATTTACATTGTTACCTAGCGGTTCCTTACTCTGAATCATTTCCTACACAATGATGACAAGTGAATATGCCTGAGGGGTCAATGGGATGCTTGATACCGGCAAGGCGATCATAGTTTCCCCAGAAGTCATTCTCCCACCTCGGCTCATTATGTTAACATATGGTCAATATGAGGTTCGAAAATACTGTAAGAAAAGACCAACGATGTCAGCTCTGTAAAAAGCGTCAGCTAGATCAGAGTTTAATAAATTATGTCACAATAGACGTACTCGTTTACATAGCAGCCAGAATCAGGGACCAAAGCAGTTAGCTTCTGTGTCTGTTCCATAATCTGATCTCTTCTACGCCGTCTTTCGGGAAACATGATATTAGTATCCCATCCAGTCGTTAGCACGAGATGGTGAATGGGCCTCCGCCAAGCCGGGTGTACGGCAGTGGCGTCTGAAGTGACCCTAGCAACTTTCTTCCCAGTAACTGGAATGTATAATGATTGGATAAGCGAATCGAATTTGACCGGGATAAACGTTTGGTGCCGAGAGCAGTTACCCAGATGGAACACGGAAGAGAAAGGCGCTTGCATGAGGAAATCGACCAGGTCATCCACGCTGCCTTCCGGAAACAGGCTAGCCGGCAAAAGTATGCTTCCCAGGATGCCAGCACCTGTACCCTCGCTGACCTGGTCCACGGGTTCAAAAAACAATTCAAAGTCCCTTGGTCACACTGATAGTCATTGGTCTACCCGCATTCGTCCCACTCTGAGTTAGTTATAGAGGGATTAAAGAGTTGGGTTAGGGGCTGTCGCATTATCAGAGTTATAAACGATGAGTGTGGCCAAAAACGTTGTCACCAGAAAGGCTTATGGTCGAAAAAGTGTAGCCAGAAAAATTGCGGGCACTCAAATCTGGTTGGAGTAACAAGTATATCCTCAGAGGATTCCGGTATGACGGCGATGTGTAGTTCAGACTGAACGAGAGCCATACTACGAGCGATTGCAGGGTGGGGTCTTGCGGGCCACCACCTATATCAAGTTCAGTTAGAGAACAAATATGCTATTAATAGATGAAGAACATACCCCAAAGCTGGGACACACCCCTGGAGGCCCAGAACAAATCTTTGTGCTGGTATGCATTGGCCGTACGTAATTCTCCATCCGGAGTGACAATCTCAAATTGAACAGCGTCTATCAAACACCTTAAATTAAGAAAGATATTAGAAACTCGAAGGTGACTTACTATCGATGCCTAGACCGTATTCAGGGCTTAGACTGGCGCCAAATCCGAAGGCTCGCTCCTGCAGATAGAGGTGTGCCGTCTGGAGTAGCTAGAGTCGTGCCAGCGGCTCTGATTACACCCAGCTGGAATTAAATTATTGCAAACTTCAATCTCAAGCTCCAATGATTTCTTTGAATTCAGAGGCCGACTGAATCGAGGCACAGTTGAGTTATTGACTTGAATCCCAATGAATTCATCCATATTACGCACAAATAAGGTACATACTGGTAAGATTTGCTAAGGAGGACAAGTATGAAAGAACGGTCGCATAAGACATTGATCTTGCGCAAGTGATAGTTCCAAAATCTTGCTGGGACTTAATTGGGAGAAAATGAGGGCTAAAACAATGGTATTGTGGTCCCAACCAAAGCGATTCTCGATACCGTGTCGAGTTATCTAGCTGGAATCGTGACTTGCGTGGTGGTAACAACGCTATCTAGTAAGTTACGAGATACCGTGCATAGTACTTGCTACGCGGTAGGTAAGGAAGGTGAAAGTATACAACAAAGAGGGTCTTGGTTATGAAATAAATCAACAAATTGAATTTGGTGAATATAGGGACGTGCTCACTAATATATAGCAATCAATACCATGAATCAGAGCCGCGAACGTTCAAGATGCGGCATGCCCGAGGCCCGCTAAGAAGCCAATATCTTTTGCATAAATTCTGCAAAGATGCGATTGAATGTAGATGCATTGGACGAGGTAAAGAAATGCGGTCCATTAGGAATGATTTGCAGCTCGCGCATCGTCGATTCCGAAAGAAGTTCATAATTGGCCTGGGCGATCGAGGGAGGGTACGGGTTGTCGAGTTCTGATTTCACGAAGTCAGTCGAAACCCACCCATCCCTTTCTATATGCAGCTTATAAGCTCACCTCCATGAGCAATCAATACCGGCATCGAGATGCGTTTCCAATCTGCTTCAGAAGGTGCCTTCTGATCAAAGAGGGCGGAATAAACCTTTGTAAGGAGTGGCCTGTTTGAGGAGTTGAAGCGATTGGTAGAAAGCCACTTTTGCGCATCTTCCTCTAGTTTATAAACGCCATTAGAAGGGCTTGGTCCATCGATTCATATGGGCGTGTATGACTCACCAGACACCCTTTTTGGGCCAAACAATGACTTGAATCCGGCTGATACTATTTCTTCTAAAGTATTGTCGCCCTTATTGATTGCTAGCTCAAGGATTGCCATGTGTTGCTGGATAAATTCTGCCGTCTGTCGTCTACGATATCAGATTGGAGCCCCATATAACAACATACTCTTAAAAGATCGGTGACTGACCGGTGCTGGTGGGCCCATCGAACACAGTGTGAGGCTGAGGACGCGTTCGACATGCATCATGGCCATTCGGACCGCGAGAACAGCACCCGTCGCAACGCCTAATATGTGACATTTTTCGATCTCTAGTGTATCTAGAAAGCGAAAGATATCTCGAATGACCTGACATTTAGTTAGTCCTGGACATGAGCGACACACGTACGTATCCTCCGCTGCTGGATCAAGAAATCGTACCATATCAAAGTCGTATTTCTCGTCATCAAGTGTGTTCTGAGTACCTCCGTGGTAATGGTGATCGAGTAAAATCTACTCTGACCGTTAGAATCATAGTGTGGGTGTGGCCGACTCTAAACGCGTTTGAACTCCGACGCACCAGATTGTACCTCTCTATCAAGCCTTCATCCGTGTACTGAGGAGCAAAGAAACCCTGGTCAAAAAACACGGGATGCAAGAACAGAATGGTTGGTTTGGACGCGTCAAGGAGGCTTCCCTTGGGCGAAAAGATGTTATAGAAGAAGCGCAAGTCCTGGTCGATAGTCAAAAGCGGCATCACGATTACGATGGGGTTTGACTTCAGATAGACAGCATAGGGGAGTTTTCGCGACTGTTTTATAAGAGTGCCCGCTATTCTATTGGATGGACTAAATTCAGCCACCCGATCACTGCTTATACAGTGGCAATCACCCGCTCTTAACAAGGACAGTTAGACTAGTTTTTACTAGGTCATGGAAAAGTCGTGGTTCGTGGCTAGCAAATGGTGCTTTTGCAAATCCTGGGCGGTTGACAGCTCCAATCGGATTCGACCCTACGCAATGGTTAGACAAGTGAATACGCCCAGCGGGTTGGTAGAGCGCTTGACGCCGATCCTTCGGTCGTATTTGCTTCCCAAACATTTGTTTCGAACTCGGTCCATTCTGAGACATCAGAGAATGGAGGGTCAGAGCTCAAGCCAGGAGCCTCGCTCCACACGAACCACCCCTCAGCACGTGCGGAGCCGAGAAAAGGGCAAAGTTGCTAAACTTTAACGCTCCCGGGGACTAAAGTACCTTGCTTCTGCTCTCCTCTTCCACTGTCTCCGAACCCTATCCTTTCTGAAGACATGGCGTTGATATTCCACCCGTTCTTTAACACATCACGGTGGCGAGTGGACATTCCCCAGGCTATGGGCAGAGCGCAGTGGCTTCCTGATGTTCAGTAAGTGGAAAGGGTCGAACACCTTGGTCTTCGATTGAGCCTTCGTGAAGGAAGTCACTGACTGCACAAATGAGGTATACTCTTAGTATTGACAGAGGAAAGGACGGTTGCAGGAGTACTTTCATTGATTTTGAGCAAGGAATCGATCCAGAGTCTTTGCGAAGTTTTATCTGCGAAACAGACGGGTTCAAATAGTTGTATTAATTGAAGTCGTAGCCAAAGCAACGATTAATGACATCTCGAGTTATCTATATAGAACCTTGCTCTGCATGGGATCAGCCAGATCTTTATGGCCGGTTGTAAGAGCTAGTGATATGGTCAACCCATGATAAGTTCTATTCGGGAAGTATCGCGCTAGTCTATCTCGTCTGCGGCCGAAATAAAGTGAAATCATATCCACAAGTGATCCGATTGGATCAACCGATAGGAGATGCGGATATAGAATACATATTCGATGATATGTAATCGCTAAACCACGATCCAGGTCCATAAAAGTTGCATAACATAATGATCCCCTAAGGTATACTAAGCAACCGATACTTTTTGCATGAATTCGATAAAGATGAGGTTGAAGATAGATGCGTTCGGGGAAGTAAAGAAATGCGGTCCCTTTGGAATGATTTTGAGTTCGCGCATCGTCGATTCCGATAATAGGTCGTAGTTAGCCTGAGCAACCGAAGGGGGATACGGATTATCGCGCTCTGGTATCTGGTTAGAGATGGGCATCGTTCCTTCAAGTGCGACTCACCTCCGTGGGCGATGAGTACTGGTATCTTGATTCGTTTCCAATCCGACTCGGGGGGTGCGGTTAGGTCAAAGTGCGAAGAATAAACTTTCGTGAGTAGCCGTTTATTCGTCATGTGAAGATTCGTAGCTGCATAGGTTTTTGCATCTTCCTCTGTTGCAGCGAAATAGTCAGATTCATTCCTAAATCATGTGTTTTCATGTGACTCACCAGTCGTGTTTTTCTCTCCAAATAAGGACTTTAAGCCAGCGGACACGACTTCCTCGAATGTCATATCTCCACCGTCGAGTACGGTCTCCATGATGGCCTTATGCTGCTCAACCCAGTCTGCCGTCTACAGTATACAATATCGGATTAGCATTAATTACTATAAAATTATACCGACTAACCGGTGCCGGAGGACCCATTGAACACAATGTGAGACTGAGGACTCGTTCAATATGCAGCATGGCCATTCGGACCGCGAGTGTAGCACCCGTTGCCACTCCTAATAAGTGACACTTTTCGATTTCTAGTGCGTCGAGAAAGCGAAAGATATCTCGGATGACCTGCCATGTGCATAAGCATAACGCAAGGGTATGGTCCATCGTCATTTACTAGGGAGAGTGATTTACCTTATCAAAGTCGTATTTCTCGTCGTCTAATGTGGTTTGAGTACCTCCATGGTAATGGTGATCGAGCAGGATCTACTTTAGCCATCAGGATGGTCGGAAGGCTGATTCCAAACACCATTTGAAGCCCGACCCACCAGATTGTACCTTTCGACTAGCCCCTCCTCCGTGTACTGAGGCGTAAAGAAGGTCTGATCGAAAAACATGGGATGCAAGAACAGAACAATCGGTTTGGACGCGTCAAGGACGCTCCCTTTGGGCGAAAAGATGTTGTAGAAGAAACGCAGATCTTCGTCAAGAGTCAAGAGTGGCATTGGTGAAGACGATAGGGTTCACTTCAGATGTGCACGGGACCTGTTGACGCTTTCGCAGTCGTTTTATAATCATCAGTATTGTATTGGTCGGTCTCTACCATAAATATCGGCCACCTGACCGCTATCGTATACAATGCCAGCTACCGGCAATATACAAGAAAAGTTAGACTGGGTTTAACAAGGTCATGGAAAAGTCGTGTGTTATGTTTGCATCGTGGCAAGCAAAGCGATGAATTCTTCAATCTCGTGTCCGATTGACACGACTAGTCCGACTCGCTCCTTATGCAATGGTGACAAATGAATATGTCCAGTGGGTTGGTAGAGCACTTGACGGCGATCCTTCGGTCATAGTTGCTTCCCCAAGACGCTTGTTTTGAGACCAGTTCGTTCTGCGACATCAAAAGCCAGAGGTTTCAAGTCAGGGGCTTGGTTTCACTCTAGCTCCGTTAAAATAAGAGCCACACAAGCCGCTAAACTTTCAAATATGCACTCGCTTGATAACAGCCGGCTCCGGGGACTAAAGTACCCCGCCTCCGTCAACTAACCCCTTTCGAGGAACGTGGCGTTGATCCTCCACCTGTTCTTTGACACATCACGTTAGCGTCGAGTGGACCTTCCCAGACTATGGACGGAGCGCAGTGGTGTCCTGGTGTTCAAAGAGGGGAAAGAATCGAACAATTCAGATTTGACCCCCTATAAATGAATTCACCGACATTGTGAACGAATGGGGAGTACTTTGGGTATTCATTGACAGACGAAAGGACCGTTGCAAGAGTATCGTTATTGATTTTTGTGTAAGGAATCGATTTAGAGTCTTTGCGAAGTTCTATTGGCAAGAAAATACGGGTTCAAATAGGTGTATTGAAATCGTAGCCAAAGCGGCGGTCAATGACACGTTCGAACTATCTATATGGACCATTGCTCCGCATGAAATCAACTAAACCTTCATGGTAGCTCACAACAGCCGTCGATAAGGACAAACCTATGACAGGGGCTCCCGCCGAAGTAAAGCGTCAATCTGGTTCGGCTTTGGTCTGAAGTAAGGTAAAATTATATCCATAAGTGATATCCCAGCTAAATAGCAATTAGATCAACCCACAGCAGATAAAGACATAAAACTACGTACTTGCCGATATATAGCTGCCAAACCACGACTCAAGGCTATGAAAGTTGCATAACACTACGACCTCATAAGGCATACTAAGAAACCGTTATTTTTTGCATGAATTCGATAAAGATTGGGTTAAAGGTAGATGCATCTGGGGAAGTGAACAAATGCGGTCCCTTTGGAATGATTTTGAGTTCGCGCATCGTCGATTCCGATAACAGATCATAGTTAGCCTGAGCAGTCGAAGGAGGATACGGATTATCATGCTCTGGTATCTGGTTAGAGATGTACATCGTTCCTTCAAGTGCGACTCACCTCCGTGGGCGATGAGTACCGGTATCTTGATTCGTTTCCAATCCGACTCGGGGGGTGCGGTTTGGTCAAAGTGCGAAGAATAGACCTTCGTGAGTTGCCGTTTATTCGACATGTTAGGATTCGCAGCTACATAGTTTTTCGCATCTTCCTCTGTTCCAGCGGAGAAGTTAGATTTGTTTCCCATTTCGTGTGTTTTGACGTGACTTACCATTCGCGTTCTTCTCGCCAAAATAGGTCTTTAGGCCAGCGGATACGACGTCCTCAAATGTCATGTCTCCACCGTCGAGCACCGTCTCCAGGATGGCCTTATGCTGTTCTACCCAGTCTGCCGTCTATAGTATACAATATTAGATTAGCATTAATCACTATGAAACCATACTGAGAGAACCATCCACTAACCGGTGCTGGAGGGCCCATTGAGCATAATGTGAGACTGAGGACTCGTTCGGCATGTAGCATGGCCATTCGGACTGCGAGTGTAGCACCTATCGCTACTCCTAACAAGTGACACTTTTCGATTTCTAGTGCATCGAGGAAGCGAAAGATATCCCGGACGACCTGCCAGCCAGTCAGTCGATGGGCATGAGAACGGCATGGCCTACTGTCGTTTGCTAGGGAGAGCAATTTACCTTGTCGAAGTCGTATTTCTCGTCATCTAACGTGGTTTGAGTACCTCCGTGGTAATGGTGATCGAGTAGGATCTACTTTAGCTATCAGAATCGTTGGAAGGTCGTGACTGACTCCAAGCAGGATTTGAACTCCGACTCACCAAATTGTACCTTTCGACTAGCCTTTCATCCGTGTACTGAGGCGCAAAGAAGGTCTGGTCGAAAAATATGGGATGCACAAACAGAATTATCGGTTTGGACGCGTCAAGGACGCTCCCTTTGGGCGAAAAGATGTTGTAGAAGAAACGCAGATCTTTATCAAGAGTCAACAGTGGCATTGGTGAGGATGGCAGGGTTCACTTTAGATATGCAACATAAGGATTTGTTGACGCTTTCGTAGCCGTTTTATAATCATCAGTATTGTATTGGTCGGTATCTACCGTAAATGTCGGCCACCTGACCCCCATTACCGGCTATATACAAGAATAGTTAGACTAGT